CCCCCCCCCCCCCCCCCCCCCATATCCTGAAATAAAACCCCCATAATTTGAACAGTGCCTTTCCTATTACACTTTGTCCTTCATCTTTTCACATATTTTGATTAGACACACTCAGAGTGACAGGGTGGTTTGGTTAGCTCTGTGAAAAATAACCCCTGAACATTCAGAAAGGTAAATAAAAAGTAAGTAAAAGTGCTTTACTCACACAGGGATTTTGCATTTTATGCACAGCTAATCCATTCCTCTTTCAACAGAGGCAACTTCCACATATGGTTGAATCGCATCTTTACACAATGAGGGATCCCACCACCACAGTGTAGACTGGGTTAGATCACTCTTACTAAATTTCATTAATGTGCATCAACAGGGTGGGTTTCACATGCAACATAATGCCACCAGCAACACAAAGGGACCATGGCAGACATGCTGAACCAGCAAGTTGCAATTCCTCTAGAGTGAAACCAAAGTGAGAAGTGAAACTGGCTTGTAAAAAAAAAAAAAAAAAAAAATCCCCATTGGTTGAATGTTTGTATCTTTTTGCATCAGAAATTGTTACAGATGAAGTTTGGTTCCAGTGAAACAGCTATCACATTGCGGTGTTCAGAAGAATACTTTGTCAGTTGCTCGCCTCTCAGAACATCATTGATTAACAAATTTACTGACCAGGCTGAAAAGAGCAAGATTTTAGTATACGTATTTAATCAACCAGTCCTCAACCAAATAAAATTTTAAACTCTGTTAATAAAATGGAATATATTGGAAACATTTTAATGACGATGTAACAGGCCACAGTGAATTTCACTCCACTTTGTTCCTCCTTTTCTCTTTTTGCCTCCCCTTTTTTAATTCCTCGCTTTTATTTGCATGGTAGTAGTTCCAGTTTAAATAGAATAGGGTACTTTTTCCTCTATTACAGAACTAGGCAATGATTTTGGCTGCAAGGACTGCTTGCAATGCTGGGGAATGGATTTGGGCAGGTATACCCTGTTATATTATGCACACCATTGGCTACACACAAAGCCTCCAGAAATCTCAACACTGCTGAATTTGCTAGAGAAGCAACATTATATTCGTCCTTGCTCATCTCTCTGATATTGCCATTGCTGTCAATTTCCTGGGAGGCCCTCTTCCTGCAAGGCCCATTGACCATAGAGACCTCTCATGAAAACCTAACATGTCAGACACTCTGGCTTTTGCACTGAGCAAGTTCTATGCTCATTGGACCTTGCAGAAACAGGGCCTTGAGGGAGATTCATAGTGGTGTCAGCACTGAAGTCAGGAGGGACACGGGTGGTCCTGGTCATCTGCAGAATCCATGTGGCCTGAAGCTATGAATTGATCACCCATTACTCCTGTATTCTTCAATCTCCACCTGATAAATGCAATAAAACCGTTAATTAAAAAGAGAGAGAAACCTTTGTTTCTCACTTGATGTTTAAAGGAGCAGGAAAAGGTAAGGTATTCTTGAAATGTGAAAGTTTTACTTTTTTTTTCCCCTGCAAATGTTTCAGGCAAGTATTCGTATAAGTGCTATGGATCTAATGTGTATGAAGCTTCAGCCTTTCATCTGTGTGCCTTTGGAGAATCACTTAACTTGCACAACTGCAGGGTTCAGATTTGATGTTACCTGGTGGCAACTTTGGATTGGATTAAAGCAATTAAATTCTCTTTGTAAAAGCAAGACAGACCATGAGCAAGCTCTAAGAAAATCTGCCATTGTTTTTTTTGCAAACCCTAGCAAGTTCAGTTGTCACATGAATAGTTTTACTAGGTCTGAAGCAGCTGTTGTAAATTTTGAGAAGCCTTGGCAAGTCAACACAATTGTGGAAATGTTTTGCACATTTTCATGGTGGTAAACTCCACTTGAGTATACATGGAACAACTTCTGAGGACATTCAAGGAATTCTGGGAATTGTAGTCTTAATACATTTGGAAGGCACCCAGTTGGGGAAAGTTTGTGCAGGCAAATTCGAGGAAGTTTTGCTAGCCATCCTGGAAGGGGATGGATTCAAATGATTCTATCAGTTCATGGAAGGAGTCCTTCCGTGAACCCAAAACTCAGTGAAGACTGCCAGAAAGGGAAGTAATTGCCCTCTTCTCTTCCAATTGTCTGCATAATTCTCATGCTAGCCCAGAGGAAACTCAAAACCATCCATTTTGGGTTTTGGGTTGCTTTACTTAAATCCTAAATCATGGATGATGATTTATGGTGTGCATTCTCCTTGGTTCATAATATATTGATACCTGCCAAGGAGGCCGTCTTTCTCCTTTTCTTTTGAATTTCAGTTTAAAACCTCTTGTCTGCCTAATTAAAAATTCTGAAAATGTCAGTGGAAGGACAATAGGGGAGTAGAAAATCAGATTTTATTATGTACAGTTTGTATTTTATGTTTTATAGGTACACTAAAATTAGCTCCTCCTAATTTTATTAATACAAGAGTTTGTTTTCTATCTAGTTATTTTATAAACTGGAGAAAATCAGACTTGAAGCAACTGGGTCACAGCAACAGTATAGAAAAATATAAGGACTGGTGCTTTATGTTCTGACTCCCTTTTTAAATCTTCCCATAAGATTTTCCAGGAGCCCTTGTCAACAGGTACATTTGAACTTATCCCCTGTTTTGATAAAGGTGAAAGAAGAACTAGATAGAAGGTTTACAGGTCCTTATCTGGGGTACTAAAAACATGATTAAGATGAATATAACTCCAAGGTTAAATTATATTTTGAGGGGATTTCCCATATTTATTTCATACTATTTTAAACAAATTTACAGGATATTCCTTATGCACCCCCTACACATACATGTTGCATTTTGAGGAAGGAAAGGAAGAATGTAACAACTAAGTGTATTCATCCATGCCTAGTTTCACTCAGTGATGTTTTGCCACTTCACGCTTACATGAACTGAACCTATAGGTTCTCTGCAAATTCTGGATTCAGAAAAATATAGCTTATTGGTGAACCAGCTTGTGATTCTATGTATAGGATTTTCCTCCTGATCAATCTGCAGTACTAGAAAAACAGTCATAAACAGGGAAGGCTTCCATTTAAAATTCCTTCAATTTTTTTGCAGGGTTATAAATTTAATCCTTGCCCTTATTGCACACATCCTTTGTGTGACAATTTAAACAGGATTTTTTTTTTTTGTAATGGCACAATACATTCTTTGCCCCCCTTGCTTGTCTGACAACCTTCCCATTCTTTCTATGTAACAGGAAGAATTCTCCTGTCTGCGGATCCCTTTGCAACAGCAGCAACCAGCTTGAAAGGTAGTTTACCAACTTCAGTTGGCTATTGACGAGCTTGTAAACAAATTCATATATTTGTCATGCTGATTATAGTGTTGGCAAACACAATGGCTGATCATGTTATAAATGTTTATCAACACCCGCACTCACCCACCTGCTAAGAGGTGCTACGCTTTAATGAAATTGTTTGACTATCAAGGCCGGTTGCTAAGATACAATGTTCTCGTTACTGGGGATGTGATGCTTACAAATTTCTGTTATCAAATAATGATTAGAAATGTGCTAACCTCAAGGTGTTCTGTGCAGCGAAAGGTTTGCTGAGCCTCAAATTAGTAAACTGTCTGCCTGAGAAGACATTTACAGAAGGAGCATGCAAGCATCAAAGTTACAGAGTTGACATTTTAGAACAAGACAATGTCGGTCAGAGGAAGCATCTCGTGCATATGATGAAAGACTGTCTCTGGAAATGTTTACATGATCAGTTGCCAAGTACAATGTCTTTATGACACATTTCCAACTTAAGATATTCTCAAGTTCTTGCATCAAATAATTGCACTTTGTTTCTATTGCATTAAAAGATCCCTTTCTCACCACTCTTTTTAATAACCAACCACCCTACAACTTGCAAATAGCTGATTCCCATTGCAGAAAGTAAGCTGCAGGAGATGAAGCCAAATTAGCAGCATCAAACATATAACATTTAGAGGCCAGATTTCACTTGCTAGACAATGCATAATCAGGGTCAGGAATGTGTTGATGTAAAAGCAGTTAAATGTTTACATGAAAGAAAAATGTCAAATATTTGTACCGTTTTCTACTCTACCTTGGGTCATGCTAATTTATTTAAAGAGATTTTCAGAAAACACAGTAAGTACTGCATCTTATTTTATCATTTTTAACAAACGTATTTTAGCGTTGGTACACAAGGATTATGTTCACACTGCCAAAGAAGTAAGTCACCTTAAGTATAATTGTTGAATGCATTACCGAATTAAAAGTTCAAGCAGTAGTTAGAGCTGTCATTAGTGTGATTCTCAGTTGAAAAGTAGCAGGGCAGAATAGATTCTAGTCACACATGGCCAATTCCTGTTTGTTGGGAGTATCTATCAAAGAGCTACTCACATTGTCCATTTCAGCACTAGAAATGTTAATCTACATTCATCAGAAGCCAATTCCTATCACTGTACACAAACTCACACCCCACATCTCTTACAATAATCCACAGAGCTGCAGCCAATGAAATTCAATGTAGCACCATCTATCAATGAGTAGTTTTACAAAAGGTGGAGTTGCATTTCAGTTATACTGTTTCTCAACTATCAGATTTTGAAGATCTGTACGGTATAACACAATCGTGCAAACATGTGTTTTCTCCCCAGAGTTTACATTTCAAAATGTGTTGCTTCATTTATGCATTTTGACACAAAACGGTGGTGGTGGGGGGTATTTTTTAGTCTGGACAAAAAAAAAAAAAAAATCTATACAGCATTACTTCTTGATATAATCCACAGAAGAGAAATACATTTCAGTGGTGCAAGTTGATTGCAAACCATGGCTAATGTGATGTGAATACAGCAGTCTATTGAACTTTTACAACATGCAAGAGATTGAACGTTAAGGCACATTAATTATAGACATAAACCTATGTTGTTTCATGTTAGAAGTACACTAATACATTCTGATGAGCTGCATTCGTTTATTTCAGTGCTGAAGTCAGGGAAAATTACTTTTGTGGGTTTGCCAAAGCAGCTGAGTAAAAACAGTAGCGATTGGTTAGTAGCTGTGGCATTACAATCATTCTCTGTCCTTTTAATAATTGGAACGATTATACACTTTTCAAAATTAAGGGTCGTGTTTTTGTTGTCAAAAAGAAATTGCACAAGCATTACATTTAGCAATAGTTTAAAATAAGTAAGTAAGTAAGTAAATAAATAAATAAATAACAAACCAACCCACTGGCCAATAGGGTTATGCAAAGCATTTGAAAGATGTGCTTCAAAATGAGTGGGAGTGCAAACAAAGCACGTCTTTTAAA